TATGTCAGCGTAAAGAGCAAAATAAAAAAAAATAGAAAAAAAATAGAAAAAAAAATAAAAAACCAAGAGAAACAATGTTTACACCAAACCATGTAAGAAATTAAGTGGCAACTATAAAAGAATAATCCCCACAGTTGACTCTGAAACATCAATCCAAATTCAAGGTGCCCAAGGCTGACTTGGCAAAAGCCCTCTAAGTTTTTCCTGTACTGGCTTTCAGTTTTACAACTATTTCGTCTCCAGGCCTCTAACACCATAAATCTGGTCAAATAATTTCTAGGCTTAAAAATTACTAGTGCCCCACTGCCTATTATGTTAAGTTAAAAATCTAGTCATACAGCCTGGAGTGGTGGCACACGCCTGTAATTGAAGCACTCTGGGCAATTTATCAACTCAGCCAGACTTTGTTTCAAAATAAAGGCGTCAGGGGGTTGCTCAGTGCAAATTCTGTCCAAAAAAAATCTAGTTATGACTAGGCCCCAGTTCTCTCTTGCTCTTCCCCAAGTCTTCCACTTTCATCATAGTGAACAACTGTTTTCTGAATAGGTCAGGCTCATAGACACTGCGTGGTATCTAAGTAACTCTGTCTCCGCTGCTCCCCCGTGCTCCTCTGCCTGGCTAACTCCTGCTCTTCTCCACGACGAATTCACATTTTCATTAATGGAGCACTTTTTAGTAAATCATCCCATAACCCGGGTATTATGGAACTCGGGCGCCTTCCTGGAAACCTCTGAGCATTTCACATAGCATCCAACATTCAGGCCGCCCTTCAATATACCCCACATTATTATTAGAGAATAAACAAACCCCTTCAACGTCCGTTCTCCTTGCAAAGAATCTCACTTAAGTTTGTCTATAACGTGAAACTGCAGATGATCTCACATAAAAGGGGAACTATCTCTAAAAACTAACTTATCTAGTAATACACTTTAGGCTACAGGTCCATTTTTTATATTTATTTTGAGTTGGGCACGGGGACACGACGTTTAATACTGACAGCTAATTTCTTGACTATTGAACACACCTATGTTGATCGAAGATTCGCTAAACAGAATTCGGGCATTGCTTGTCTGCCAGCAGTACTCAAACAGATACAGAAGTAATGCAAGCTTTTTTCTCCCGGTACTGGGGGTTGAACCCAGGGCCTTCACAGGGAGCTCCAGCCTCAGGCTTTTTCCTTTTTTTGACAGTGTAAGTCGTCCAGGCTAGGCCCGAACTTGCGATCTCCTGGCCTCAGCCCCCAAGAGCCCTGAGACTTCAAGCGGCCACTACGCCTGGCTACCATGGAGTTCTCTGGCAGGTCCTGCGGTATCCCCAGCACTCGGCCCGGGACGCGGGTCCCTGCATTTTGTTTGTTTGTTTGTTTGTTTTTTGTTTTTTCTCCGGTACCAGGAATCGAACTCGTGACCTCGCGCTTGCCAGGCAGGCGCTGTACCGCTGAGCTAAATCCCCAGCCCCAAGGTCCCTGCATTTTACAAACCTGTGCAACTTCAGCTCCCCTCAGTCCCAACAACTTCAGTTAAAGAGAGACAGACTCCAGGTAAAGATGGAGTGAGCTCCCCCTGCGGGGACGTCCTGCTCCGGCTTCGGAATCACCGCCTTCTGAAGGCGTCTGAGGGGGCCCGGGCGCAAGCGGAACCCAGCACCCCAAGGAGCCGACCACTCGCCCGGAGCCCGAGGGCGCCAAGACGAGCCGAGGACGCGCTCCTGGGCTCGCCATGAGCCTCGGCCACTTCTCGACCTTTCCTGGAGCCTGGAACGCCGCGGCCCTCAGAGAGGGCGACCCGAGAGGACACTGCAGCCCCACTCACCTCGCTGCCTCAGCTTGCTCCATGGACGAAGAACGCCGCTCGCATCCGGTGACGCGCGCGTTCCCGCCGCCACGCCCACAAAAAGGGGCGGTATCTTCCGCCCACTCATTGGTTGCTTTGCCACTGAGTTCTGTCCCTTCCGGGCGGAGTGGCGGAAAAAAAAAAAAAAAAAAGCTTCCCACATTTTCTTCTCGCTGATTGGTTCTATCAAAGGTCGATTCAATGACGTCGAGAACACCCGAGCCAATTATAGTGCAAGAACTGCGTATTCTCGAACGCAGGCAGCTAGTGTCAGAAGGAAAGGTGGCCGCGGTCGGTGGTGGTTGTGGGTGGTTTCTGGGCGGTTTCTGAGCGTACGTGTCCCACCTTCGCCACCTTCCTTTGGTTCCCGCGATGCCGATGTACCAGGTAAAGCCCTATCACGGGGGCGGCGCGCCGCTGCGTGTAGAGCTTCCTACCTGCATGTACAGGCTCCCCAACGTGCACTGCAGGACCAGCAGCCCCGAGCCCGACGCGGGCCACGTGCAGGTAGGAGTGCGGGCCTCTTCCCCAGTGCGCACGCGCCGTGCTTGGGCCGGGCCCTGCCCCTTCACCTCGCGCCGGTTCAGGTTGCTGGCGCCGCAGTGGCCACGGGTCCTGGTGCCCCTGCCGCTCGCCAGCGGATCTCATCTGACTGGAACCATCTGTGGATGCCCAGTCCAGCCCGGCCTCCAGCGCCACCTTGGCCATGTGAGCTTACCAACCGACGATACACCCTAACTTTTATAAAAATCTGTTCATCGTTATCTTTTGGCATGTAGCTACTTAAACTTTTTTATTACAAAGTTTTCCCACACAGGAAGCAACTAATTCATAAACACTCATTTTGGGGAATTACAAAGCAAACCTCAGGGTTACTGCTACCGAGGTGTTCGGACACACATTGTCATTTTTACAACTTTGCTCCCCAAAGATCCTTACTTGGTTTTCTATTATTATTTTGCCAACTAATTATCTTCAGTTGTCTTGATGTAAGTGGAAGCCTTCTTAATATAGCTGGCTTTTTGGGGTAGACTTAATTATGACATTTTGTGGCAACAAGGAAGTCATCCTTTTCTGTCCAGTATGCTGTTCCACGGTATGACTCTTCCACTATTACTTATCCCTCCAGCTGCTCGTGGGCGCTGGGTGGTTTTCCAGTTTATGGTGTTATGAGTAAGTCTGCAGTGAATATTCTCACGAGCTGGCATAGGGCATAATCTGAGGAACAGGACTGCTGGCCCAGTGGAGTCTGTCTTCCACTTTAACTGGATAAATTACTTCCTAAAGTGGTTATACTGGTTTATGCTCTCACCAGCCTTGGCGAAACCTCCTGACGTTTGCATTTTTTGCAAAGCTGGTGGGCGTCCTGTCGTCATCCTAATGTAGTTTTAGTTTAGATTTCCTCCTTTTCTAGGTTGAGCACCTTTTCGTGTTTCCAGGCCATTTTGATTACATCTTTTGTGTACCTTCTTGTCTTTCACTCAGATCTTTTGCTGTTTTTATCGCAAATACACATCCAGAGTTTCCAGTGGAGAAATGTTGGGACAGGAAATGAATGGATATATTTTGTGGTCGGTTTTCCTGCTGTCTGTTATCATTTGTCCATATAGCTTTCTGCCTAGATTGGAAGGGAGGTGGTTAAGTTAATTTGAAACCCAATGACATTAACAGTTGTTTCATCACAGAGCTAAAGACAAAAATAGCAGATATGGTTCAATGGCCCACAGAGCCATGGCCCAGTGCCCCTTCAGCTGCACAGTCCAAGGAACCAAAAAGAAAACCAAGAGTGGGGGATGTCACCTATTATTCATGACCAAGTTTTATTTTAAGTCTGCTGCCTGACTTTCTTTGCGCTTTGATTGAATTTCTGACTCACAAGACACACAGTCCTGCTGCGCTAGCAGTTATCTGGCATATGACAATATAGATAAACAACTAGAAATCAAGTCACAGTCTAGTCCTAGCAAGAACAACTACAGGCCAATGTCATGGGAAGGTACTGATGAGATAAAGCAGATACCTGAAGCATTTTGGTATTACATCAGGAGGGGCTAGGTCAAGCCATTTGAGAAATCACAGACCACATTACATGTGCAGTTCTCACCCCGGGCATTTTCAGCTTGTACTGACTGTGCTTTGAATCTGGCAGCTGCTTCTTTGGTCCTGGCTGGGGTAGGCATCCTGCTGCCGGTTTGTAGGAATGAACAAGATTCTACAGGAACAATATACAAATATAGGCTGGGTAAATGAGACTGGAAGTAACACACAAGCTGACCACCATTAAGAACATGAGGCTGTTATTACACAGGGACTAGCCCTCTCTGTCACACATGTTGTGTTCAAACATTTCCAGTCAACATCTAATTACTTAATTGGCATCTTTCATTCTTTGTTCTATCCAGACGTCAGTCGGCTTACTTATCTTTGCTGTCTAATCTTCAAAGCAGTGGGCTAGGTGAAGTGAGAAAGTGGTGATCAAGTTTGTCGAGCATAAATAGGAATTACCCAAACCAGAGAAGACAGAACAGCATGTATGAAGGTCCTGTGGTAGGCGGGAACATGGTGTTTTAGGGATTCACAGTACAGTGTGGTTAGAGCACAGAACAAGGGAAGAGAACTATAAGGTGAAGGAGCCAGGGTCTGAGTCATACAGATATTTATTAAGCCATGTTAAGAGCTGAAGTTGTATCTTAAGAGTCTAAGAAGTTAGCACAGAGGAGGCTGTAACAAGATTGGAGTTTTTGAAAGTCTTTCTGGCCAGCATCTTAAAGGGGATGAAGTACAGAGGTGGACCAGCCTGGGCACAAGTGACCAGTAAGAAAATATGCCAGGTGAAAAATGGGGCCTGTCCTTGGGTACTTAGAGTGGGGACACACTTCAAAGCCAGTGGATTCCAAAAGTATTTGGGAGGTGAAACTCCTAATACCTGGTGGTCAGTTGGGTATGTGAGAGGGAGGTGCAGTGGGTAACTAGTGGAGGAACAAATGTCCTAAAACCACTGGACTTTGCTGCACATGATGTGAACAAATACTGTAACCCTTCTATGCACATTGCATCGTGAGTACTTTTTTTTTACAATAAACTCGAGAGCACTGCCATATTCTTAACTCCTGTAATTGTGGGCATTTTCCTCATGCTTAATGTATTTATTCTCTCAACACAAAGGGATTACGTGTTGTGACAGCTCATGAATTGGATGTAGGTTATACAATTTGACTTTACTGGGACATTAAGTATTGAGTTTTTAAAGTCTGTAACTTAAGACTTATTCATAGGCAAATATTATTGGTTACTTACTGTGTGCCCGTGAGCACTAGGCAAAAAGGACACAAGATTCACTGACTGAGGGACTGGAGAGTTCCTGATCATGAAGTCACACATTTCAGTAGTGAAAAGGTTCTAGATCAGTGATAGAGAAGCTTTGAGAGACTAAGTGTCCAAACTGGAACCCAGAACCCATTTATTTACCACAGAGTCCCAACACTGCAATTAAACCTGAATACTGACCAGCCTTGCGAAAGCTTGGATGAGTGGCAACCAATGAGCTGTGGCTCACTGACATCATAGCCTGGCTCCACTACTCCCTTCCGAGCATGCACGTGGCTCCCGAGTGTGCTGCTATTCGAAGCTGGGCTGCTGGGGCGATGCTGGGATGCTGGTTCGCATGTAGACAGAGGGCTGTGTGTGCCTGCTGCAGCACACATGCCATAGGTTTGCCTCCACTGTTCTAGATGACTCTAAGACAAGAGGGTGCCAGTGCTGCCTCGAAATGATTCAGGAAATCAGTTTCCTGTGCCGGCGATCTGCTTCTGTGCTGAAAGAGACCTTTTAAATTTGTCTTGAGCTACCTTTTCCCTTCTATTTGTATACATTAAGTTGCATTCTCATTGGTTTTTCCCCTATCATTCTCTGCTTATTTAAACAAAGTATTTTGAATTAGTTTATTAATAAAAGTAAAGAATGCTGGCCCGGCCTGGTGGCAAATGCCTATAATGCCAGCTAATCGGGAGTCTGAGGCCAGTCTTGGCAACTTAGCAAGACCTTGTCTCAAAATAAAATAATAAAAAGGGCTAAGGGGCCGGGCGTGGTGGCCCACGCCTGTAATCCCAGCACTCGGGAAGCTGAGGCAGGAGGATTGTTGCAAGTTCAAGAACAGCCTGGGCTACAAAGTGAGCTCAAGGCCAGCCTGAACTGCATAGCGAGACCCTGTCTCAAAAAGACAAAAAAAAAAGGGGGGCGCTAGGGATGTAGCTCAGTGTTCCTGGGGTTCAATCCCCAGTACTATAAAGAAAAAAGAATACTCAGGGCAGTAGGAGGTTGAGGCAGAGAATCCCTTGAGCCCAAGAGTTTGGGGTCAGCCTAGACAACACAGTAAAACTGTCTCTTAAAAATAAATTAATTAAAGTAAAATAAAGACTAAAGGCTGATTTGTGTTTATTTTCTACTGTTCTCTGTTCTTAAACTAAATAACCTGAAGTAGGAATCAGATCATGTCTAAGTGGCTTTCAGTCACCTTTTTTATTCTAGAACGTCTGTGGATCTGTTTGCAGAACCTATTAAACATGAGATAACTCTCATTGATGTGACATATGTATTTATAGTACTGGGGATTAAACCCAAGGCCTTTGCACTGAACTACATCACTAAACCTTTTTTATTTTTTGACAGGGTCTCCCTAAATCACTAAGTTGCCCAGGTTGGGCTCAAACTTTCAGTCTTCCTGCCTCGGCCTCCCAGAGTGCTAGGATTACAGGCACCTGTCACCACACCCAACTTGTAATGCCTTTTAAAGGGAGGGAGGTTTGTTAGTGCTTGGGACAAGGTAAGAAAGCTGATCAAATTCAGACAGACCGCTTTGTGAGAGGAAATGACAGCTTGGTTGTTGGTTTCTTTAGGAAGCATTAGACCCCTCTCTTCAAGCTCTTGAGTCTCGCCAAGATGATATTTTAAAACGTTTATACGAGTTGAAAGCTGCCGTTGATGGTCTCTCCAAGATGATTCACACCCCTGATGCAGATGTGGATGTAACCAACATCATCCAAGCGGATGAGCCCACTCCTCTGATGACCAGTGCGTTGGACTTGAATTCAGTGCTTGGAAAGGTAGGTTTGTTTCAAAAGCTGAGACATCTGTGTGCTAGATAGTTACCAATGCCAGAAAATTGTGTCAGCATGATTTCGCCTTGCCTTTGTGGTCCTCAGAGGTGAAGCACTTGTTCTTTATTTGCCCCTAAAGTGACTGTGCCTTGGCACACAACAGATTTGCGTGGCATGAGTAAAGCCAAAGCAAGCTGTAAAGCTGCCTCTTGACTTCTTCCAGTAGAGAACAAAGTGGAGCGGGGGGCAGAGAAGGGAGTCAAGAGTCACAGCCACTTGCCATCTCAGGTCTGTCCAGCAGCCTCTGAACCTCAGAGGAGCAGGTCCCAGCAGGTTGGGGAAACCTTGACTGTTTGAGAGAATCCCATCTGTTAATAGCCTTGGCTCCCCAGGCATGGAAATCCCATCAGTCCTTTTGAACTACATTGCTACAAGCCACTCATACTTCAGATGTCTACATTCTGTTTTTCGAGGAACGGAACTCAGGACCTTGTGCTTGCCAGGCAGGTCCTGTGCCACTGAGCAGTGTCGCCGCCCCCCCTTTGCATGTCTTTTGCTTACATTCAGTTTGCTTTATGAAAAGTATGTTGTGTCAGCCAGGCTTCACGTTTACAGGCTTCAGCTCATTTAGGGGACAATGCCATACACAAAGGATGTCTTACATTGTAAAATATCTTGTAAAGTGGTATCAAAGGGTACAAAAGGTTTGTCCCAAGATTTCCTACTAATACCTTGCTATAGAAGTGCTGATGGAATGGTACAAATCAAAGACCTAAAAAGTGGAAGCAAGGTTGCGGTATGTCACCCAAGGGTTCTGTTTCTGGCAACTTCAGTACCCTTGCCTTGGTGTATTCCTTCCCCTGCCCATGCATTCATCCTACTCATGCCTGTGTACTGAGGACTCAGCCAAAGCCTGACCAAGCCCCAGGGAGCCATAGCTTCAAGGTGCGTCTGGGAGCTTGCACAGGGGCTGCTCATTGTCCTGGAAAGGCTTCTCAGAGCACGTGGTGCTCAGTGTGAATTTCGATACCTTAGAGGCAAAGTGACAAGTAATGTGATCTGTTCAGGGAACTGCAAAGCATTCAGCCTAGCCTGGCATGAAGGGTGTTGAGTAAAAGTGGCAGGCTGTTTAGAAAAGGCCAAAGCACTGCTGTGCTTGTCTACATGAGCGATGTTTTTGTTGTTGCTGTTGTTGTTTTGAGACTGGGTCTCACTTTGTCATTCAGGCTGGCTTCAAACTCACAGCAATCCTTCTGCCTCAGCCTCCTGAGTGCTGGGATTACAGGCTTGTGCTATCACACCCGGCATGTCGACGTTCATTATTAAGAGTGAAAGAATAAAGTCCTCCTCTGAGGTGGCTGCAGGACTTGGCACTTAGTCAGCACTTTGGGTTGCACACTGTCCTTTCCCCTCATCAACAGTGACCCTAGAGTCAAGACCCTGTTTCAAGGGGCTCCTCATCGAAGCACCTTGATGAACACAAATTGATGTAGATGCCAGGTGGTGAGCATTAGATTTGGTGGCTGAAAGAATTACATGTATATGTCTTTAACTTAGTTTCATCTCAGGAAAAAAGGACCAAGAAGTGTCATCTCTGACACGCAGTTACATGAATTTGATAGTAAAGTCCACTTTTTCTTTGTGGGGAGTCAGCAGTGGAGGGCTCGGAGATGGAGCCAACCCACACCCCAGCTCCCCTGCTTACGGAGTTCAGTGAACTTGGATAGGTTACTTGCCTCCCCATGATTCAAATTTTCCCAGCTGTTAAGCGAGGGTATTCATGAGGCCTTCCTCACTGGAGCCAAGGATTCAATTAAATGACCCTGGTTAAGTTCCTAAGGTAGCACCTGGTAAAACCACACTCGAGACTGCTCACATTGGTTGTGTGGTTCTGGTCTTTCCCCAGGATTATGGGGCACTGAAAGACATTGTGATCAACGCAAACCCGGCCTCGCCTCCCCTCTCCCTGCTCGTGCTGCACAGGCTGCTCTGTGAACGCTACAGGGTCCTGTCCACGGTCCACACGCATTCATCAGTCAAGCGTGTGCCCGAGAGCCTGCTCAAGTGCTTTGGGGAACAGACTAGGAAACAGGCCCGTCATGAGTATCAGCTGGGCTTTACCTTAATCTGGAAGAACGGTAAGTGGAGATGACCAGGTTGAACCTACTGTGCGATGGGATGCATGCCGTGGTTTTGCTAACAGGCAGCGGAGTGAAGACGTTCTACACTCAGACTATAGCTCTTCGCTGTCAGGTCAAATCCTCTCCAAGACACAGCTGTGGGCAGTTCTGAGCATTGGAGAAGGGATTTCTGTTCAATCAGGCAGAGCTCTCCAGTCTCCACATTCTAAAACTTGCTCTAGGGACACTCATGTTTTCCTATGGGCCTTAAAGGATGGCAGATATCATTTATCCATAATCCCAGTGATGTATACCTTGCCCGGTGAGGTTCGTACAGACAGCAGTGAGTTAACAGCCGCCAGTGACGCCTGAACTGCCCTCGGCCTCCCATACGTAGAAAAGTAGTAAGGGCAGACTGTCCCCAGTCTAGAGCATGAGACTCCTGGTTTCCTGTCCTCAGCCTCCAAATCCTTCAGCACAAGAGTTAAAAAGATGGTCTGAGGTCCCTTTCTAGCTTGAAAACTTAAAGGCTACTTAGTTACTTTTTTTTTTTAATCATAACATTTTAAGACTCTCACATATTAAACCTCTTGGAGACAGATGAAAAATGCCACTGTTTGGAAAATACACTGTTGATATATGACTTCCTCCTTCCACACAGCACAAGTTTGTCCCTCAGTGGCTGCTACTCTGCTTGACACTGCATGGTGTGTTTTTCCTTTTCAGTGCCCAAGACTCAGATGAAGTTCAGTGTCCAGACGATGTGCCCCATCGAAGGAGAAGGGAACATTGCACGTTTCTTGTTCTCTCTGTTTGGCCAGAAGCACAATGCTGTGACCTTAACCCTCATAGATAGCTGGGTAGATATCGCTATTTTTCAGCTAAAAGAGGGAAGTAATAAAGAAAAAGCAGCTGTTTTCCGCTCCATGAACTCTGCTCTGGGGAAGAGCCCATGGCTGGTCGGGAACGAGCTCACCGTGGCGGATGTGGTGCTCTGGTCTGTGCTCCAGCAGACCGGGGGCTGCGGCATGGCAGCCCCTGCCAACGTGCAGCGATGGCTGAGGTCATGTGAAAACTTGGCCCCTTTCAACACTGCCCTCAAGCTACTAAAGTGAATTTCAGTAATTGGTTTTAAAGGGTTTGGTTTTAAGAATGATGCTGCCTCATGCCTACTGTCAGTAAAGAGACTCAAAAACAGAATCAGTCTTTTTATTTAGGCCAGTTGTCAAGTATCAATAAAATCATCATATAATTTGTGAGTCTGGGTTTATTCAGCATGATCATTTACAACATACCATGAGAACTGCCAATTACGGCAGGGAATTCCTGGGATACTGAAATAGGTAATATTTCAGAATAGGCTCCATTCTGAGCAGTCTTAGGTCATGAAAGAGCTACTTAAGGAAAAGGTAGCCAGGTATACTTTTACAGCTTTTAAAAGTCTTGTATAGGCTTATTAAACACAACCAAGAAATCATATTCTGTACAATAAAGATTGAAAATTTACATTCCAGTTCACCATTCTGAGTCCATTTTCACATTATTGATATAGCCTAATTAAGGCTGGACAGTATGTCCTCATTTTTCACATCATCCTTTACCCTTTTGTCCTGAGAAAGGAGGCTTAGCTGCTGCTTTAGTGCTTCAATTTCTTTTTCTTGCTCTATTATTTTCATCTGTAGGGTGAGATTAACCTGTAAAGAGGGAAAATTTTAGGCTTTGTTAAAATAGCTATTTCTCTTAAATATACAGGTAGTACTCACTTTGCACAGTTCCTCCACACATGAATTCTAGTTGTTACAGTTTAAGTGTCACCAGCCACCCAACTGCACGGCTGAAATGTCAGCCATCACTTATAGTGGTCCTTGGTTCACAAACACTTTTGTTGCAAACAGTTTGGTTCATAAATAGAAGCATTTTTGCAAAATTTTGTTTTTATTTGTAAACTCTACATTAGGTGACAAACACAACCACGGCCATCTGTCCCACAAAACTTTTCCAAGATCATAGAACAGATTAAGTTTGTGAACAGAGATACCACTATATTTACTATAATTGGGTCCTGCCCTCAACCCCAAAATGTGTAAATAACCACAGCACGTTATCATTAAGGCCAATCAAGTGGCTTCTGTCAAAGACTGCGCCTGGTCACTGAATGTTTTAGTTCACAGCAATATGGCTGTGTTGCCTCCATGTTTTCCAGCGCAGAGCCTGTGTGAGATTTTTTAACCACTTAACAGTTTACCACTGACTATCCCATGCATTGCTCAGGCAAGTGTCATTTCAACCAGTTGATTCTTACATTGAATAAATTTGGTAAAACTTTTAAATTTCCTGTTATAAAAATCAACAAAAAAACATGCAATTTTTGGTCACCCTGTATTTAAAGGGTAGGGCTGGTAAGTGGTTCAAGAATGGATAAATAAAAGAGGATACTGGCCAGCAAAGATGTAAGTCCAGCCAAGGAATAAAAGCAGATGATGCTAGCAACAAAATGTGAATTAAAGTTAAATGGCATCACAGAAAATGAGCTGGTTATCCATATCATAGATGCAGTTTTTAAAAAAATATTACGTATACCTCTCCACCATCTAAGTTTATAAATGTTTTACTTGAGAATTAGTCAAAGATAAATCAGTTGTCAGATTTTCTTGAGGATTCTGGGAATGAAGCCATGCTGCTCAGCAAGTCTCCACCCCTGCGCTGCCCCCCCCGGTGCCTCTTCTACTGTCGCCATTCATGGCTCCACTACCATGTGACAGCATCGCTTCAAGGGCTGTCACACTGCAGACTGCTGCCCCCACTCCCCCTAGACTTTCTCTTAATAGGCTGAGAGACAGGAGGGGCCTGAGAATTCTGTCAGTCCCCAGGGCACTTCTGCTGCACCAGACAGCACTGCTGAACTGAAGATTCTGATTCAACATTAGGAGAGCCCCAGGTTGCACTGCTGCAGCTGCTCTAGGACCATAATTTGTATAGTTAAGTACTAGAGAATCTGTGAATATACCTTAGAATCAAGCTTTAATTAAAGCGGTAACAGTTTCTGCAGGAATAGAGTGAATAAGCCGCCCACCTTTTCCAGTATACACAGACTAGAGACTATACTTGGCACTGAACCTCGCATCAGAAAGAACGGAGTGGGCCACCCTGAAGCAATACCACACCAGAGGACTGAAAACCAACGTGACACAGTTGAACTCAAAGCTCTCAGTGGTGAAGGCAGCCACGTGTTGTGGCACATGCCTGTAACTGCAGCACTGAGAGGCTGCGGCAGAAGGATCTCCACAAACTCAAGGCCAACTTGGACAATACAGTCAGTTTAAAAGCCAGCTTCAACTACACAGTGAGACCTTGCCTCAAAAAAAAAAAAAAGTGGCAGTCTGCCACCACTGTTCCAACTCCCCTCAGAATTATTACTCTATCTTACCCTTTGGTGTGTGTCCCTTTTTACTAGGAGGTAAGGAAGTGAAGCACGCACACAAATGGGGCAGCACTGGGGGTTGAACCTGGGACTTTTGCACTAAGCTATATCCCTAACCTTTTTTTCTTTCAAGATAAGGTCTTGCTAAGTGACTAAGCTGCTAGGCTGGGCTTTAACTTGTGATCTTCCTCCTCCAGCCTCCCAGAGGATTATAGGTGTGTGCCACCTTGCCCAGCTATATTAGCTTTTGTAGCATAGACAACTGGCAGTGAGTCAACTGGTTTTGGGGAACTACCAATATGAATGTGCTTTTGTATAAACTTAGTAAGTACTAGATATATACTGTTAAGGAATCGGACACTGGGTTGAACTATTTTGTTTCCTGAAACATAAACCTTACTCAAAGCTTGATTATTCATGAAACAGGATTAATAAATTCTACTTTAAAAGCTTTGTATTCCCCCAGTATTAAACAAAGTTCCATACATTTCCAGGAGTTTGGAAAAGTTCACTCTGCAGCAGCTGATGAGCAGATGGTCTCTGGGCTGCGTTCCTGCTGGTCAGGTGCTGGATATATTTGGCTTGCACCGGGCACCTTTTTCTGAGGGACTCAGGTATCTGACCAGTTCTTACACCCGTTAGAACTGCTGCTCGCTCCATCTCTGTCCCGAACGGCTGAAAAAGCTCGAGCAGGATCACACCCAAGCTGTACATGTCTGACTGGAAAAGGAGGACAAAGGCGGTTTAAGAGTAAAATATGAAGTTAGACTAACACGACTATCACTGTACATCCTTCTCCAGCAAGCAAGGATTTCTATTAATGAGGACTTAGTCATCTACAATGGGAACACAGAAGGACAGCACATGCCTCACAGAAGCAGGTGTCTGCTCTAAGAAAGAGAAGACCATGACAGTCTCTCTTGTTTTGGGGGGAGGATGCAGCAGTACTGGAGACTGAACCCAGGGCCTTCACACTGCCCTACATCCTCAGCCCTTTTTATATATTTTCTTTAGAGATAGAGACTTGCTAAAGTCACTAAGTTGTCCAGGCTGGGACTGAATTTGTGATCATCCTGCCTCAGTCTCCCAGAGTGCTGGAATTACAAGCATGTACCAGCCACCATGGCCAGCGACCCCTGTCTCTTCAGCTCCCCAACAGGGCCAGCCATGGATTTGTACAATGGACAGTCAGGTGAAAGCAAGGGTATCTCCCACCACCCACAGCAGTCACCAGCCCTACCACTGTCTCTACCACCCATGACAATCCAGGCCTGATCCAAGCACTGCTCATGCTAGGGTCAGGGGCTGTCCCCAGTTCTTCCTTTGATTTCACCTCTGCCTCTTCTTATAATTACACATTCTTGGTAACATTTACAAACTGTGTAAAACCTGCTGCTTTCCTAAAAGTAGCTGTTTGGAAAGTCTTCGCTGCATTGGCTTTTAGGTGTAGCTGTGGTCTTTTCTGGCGGGTCTTTCCCAATTGCTAAAAAACCAAATGAGTCATCCTAAAGAAAATGTACTAGGCTGATTATTTTGAAAAGAGGGTTTACTTTAGCATTTCTTCAATGGGGACTGAAACTTCAGAGTATCATCATTCTCTTACAAGGGGAGTCAAGTAGCAAGCTTCCCCGTGGCATGTGTTTAAGCTTCAAGTGAGAAGAACAAAAGGCTAAGGACAGGTTTGTATGGATTCTAGGTCCCTGAGATGAATGGTGACGTTTTAAATGGAACAACTTGTGACATCCATGGATTTAGAGATAGAATCTGCCTAAGGGGTAATGCAGGACCAGGAATTTAGTTCAGTGGTGCAGCGCCTGACTGACAAGTGTGAACTTGTGAGTTTGATCCCTAGTACCCTCCCTCCCCCACCAAAAAGGTAATGCAAGGGGGTGGGGATTTAGCTCGGAGGCATAGCAACTGCCTGGCAAGTGCAAGATCGTGAGTTCGATTCCCAGTACCAGAAAACAAACAAACAAACAAAAGGTAATGCAGCCAGATTTGGCTAAAAAATGAGACTTTAGGAATGGAAGGGTACTGGAGATTAAGCCCAGGGCCTTTGCATTGAGCTACATCCCTGGCCAGTTTTTTTATTTTTTGACAGGTCTTGCTAAACCAACCAGGCAGGGATTGAACTTGCAGGCCTCGTGCCTCAGCCTTCCACAGTGGTACGATAACAGGCATGGGCCACCCAAAGTGAGCTAAAATGAAGCTGCTTCTTAGGAGAGTTTCATTAGCAAATCACCTACAGGACTCAGATGTCTCCAAAAACACACCTACCTAGAACTCTGCATTTTTGGCCCAGTTAAATTACAGAATAAGTCAAAAGAAAAAGTAGTAATTATTACCTTGGCATCATACTCAGATCCTTCCAACTGCTCCGGTGAGGCGTACAGACAGGTTCCCACTCTGGAAGTGTGTGTTGATGTTCCTGTGAGTTTAGAAAGCAATACGTGAAACACTGCAGTAGTAACACAGAAACCATTACGGAACGCTTGCTGTGAGCAGGGCTCTTCAGCTCGAGGGCAGTGGTGGCAAGCCTGAGGCACATGTGCCACGGCCGACTGTTTATTATCATTGGCAGCCCTACAAGGTTTGCCATCACTGTCCTAGGGGAACAATGGTTGCGTCTGTCCTAGCTTTATTATTACATTTTTATGATTCTTTTTTTTTTGAGACAGGGTCTCGATAGGTAGTTCAGGCGAGCTTTAAACCCACTAAGTAGCCCAGGCTGATCTCGAACTCGCAGTGATCCTCGTGTCAGCCTCCCAAGTACTGGGACTATAGGTGTGAGCCACCATGCCTGGCTTATGGTTCTCTTTAAATACTGGTATGTTTAACCATGTTTCCTTTTGAATGTAAAATTAAAAAAAAGCAAAAAAATTTACCTTTCCCATTCCTACTGGTCCAGTCCGCATTCTTTTGTATGATATCTGTGCAGGCCAGGCCAAAGTCTCCTATTTTTACTTGCTGATCAGGGCCATGAAGAAAAATATTTCTAGGCTATAAACAAACAGAACAAATCAATTCCTTAATTTTCTTAAATAGTAAAAACCTGGGTGTGAAGAGTTACCAACTCAGTGGCAAGCAGCCCCAACAGGTCTCAAGTTTGCTGTCAATTAGAATCATCAGAGGAGTTTAAAGAGAAATCTCCATGTCCAAGCCTTCCCCAGATAAACAAAATCTGAGCTCCTGGAGTGGACACAAGCATCACCATTATTTAAAAGTCTAAACACTGTTTCAGATTTGAGAAGCATCAATGTAAAACATGCTTCACACACAAGCATTTCTCAATTCTGATGGGGCATCCCTGTCCAAGAAACTTTTAAAATCTGTCTTCTCCAACAGTCAAGAGACTGACATTTTTAATGAAAAATCTTGGGGTTTGTTTTTGGTGCTGGGGATGAAACCCAGAACGCTAAAAATGATACGCATGTGCTATCTGTACTACTTAACTAGACCCCCAGTCCTGCTCATAATCCTCCTGCCTTAGCTTTCCAACCAGCTGGGATTACTTGTGTGCCACTGTGACAGGCGTCTTTGATTTTTTAAAGCTCACAGATGACTCATATATTAGCCAGTAGGGAAATGACTAGGTCACAATATGAAGACATGCATTTGGCTCTACTTTAGCAACCATAGCAGATGTAAAAGAGCTCTCAGCCTATTCATATACCAGTGAAAAACTGTATCTATACTCGTACAAGAAAAAATTTTTTAAAAAATTAAAAAATTCTTAGGTTAAAAGCTGTTTTCACATTTAAGTGATAGTTTATGTGGATATAAAAATTCCCATTTTAGATCCGTTAACAGTTTGAACTACAGTTGACATGGAAGAAAAAACAGAGATAATCTTAGGTGTAAGATGACAGTTTGGATGTTTTTGTGACTAAGCAGAAAACCCCCCAAATCTGTACTGATACCTGGCACTCTATAATCAGGGAATAAAGTCTGAAAGGTGTGTGGTACCAGTATAAAAGGAATTATGTTCACTTTACAACTTTTTTTTTTCGGTACTAGTGATTGAATGCAGGGCCTTGCATTGAGCTACCTCCCCAGCTTTTTTTTTTTCTTCTCTTTTCTTTGAGAGAGGGTTTTACAAAGTGGGCAAATTGTCCAGGGTAGGCTCAAACTTGCAGTCCTTCTGCCTCAGTCTCACTTACTGGGACTGCAGGCACGTACTACTACAGCTGGCCAGAAATACAATTCTTCACAATTCCAGGAAAGTTCTAGAACTAAACTGAAAGAATCATCATAAAGAGAATGATACCGAATGATTCCATAACAGCATTTACCCATAAACACTGAAGGTTTTCCCATGGGAAATATAACGAAAAGGAGAAGCCTGGTGGCTGACAGAGCCCCATCACTGGAGGACAACCAGCCCATAACACTGCACACTAAGCTTTACGAAGCCATAATCAAAGAAGACTGCACTGCCATCAAGGCACTCCTCAGAAATCACCCAGTTGACCAGCCTTTGACCATTCCATCCAACCACACCTGCTACACATTACCCCTACGCCAGGTACCTGCTTTTCTGCTGTTTCCTGTAGAAAAAATTCTTAGCAAGAAACATAACCTAATACCTATGAATGCCCTAAGCTCCTCGCAGCTCTCACAAAACGTACAACTCACAGCCCTGCTCCAGCATGCACATCCCATGCGCAGAGCAGTGCACTTCAAGGTCCTCTGAGTCCCAGAGTCCGCAAGGCCTTCCTTCCACTCCTCACACATAAACAGATGGAGAGAAAGACTGGAACTTGTTTGGCCAGAAGAACATTAATGCCATACTTTTACATACACTAGTGGGGATTATGTCTGTGTAGTAGAATTATTTTTCCCCCATTAGTATCTATGTTTTCATTCCTAAATTTTTATACCATGATTATTGCCTTTATAATTTTTTTCAAGAAGGACGTCACCTTCTTTCTCCCACATCTCCTCTTATCTTACAGTGTAAAACCACTACTTACATATATAAGAAACGGCACAAACAGTTCTGCTTATCATCGAACACATGCTGTGTTATCTTTTTGAAAGCCCTGAAAATGCAGGTTTTACTAATAGTATGACTTTGGCAAAGCCTTAAAAATTGTAAGACCTACTCATCAATCACTCTGTAGGTTAATTTAAGGACTAAGGGGCTTCACGGCAATTACCAATAATTTTACACCATGAGAAGCAACTTCACAAGAAGCAACTTCCAAAGCTTCTTCACAAGAAGCAACTTCCAAAGCTTCAGGTGTTATTTCTGTTATCTTGGTAAATCTGTGTTTTTGTAAAACATAAATTGTGCAGTACAAAATTCCCTGACCTCTGAAAACAGGTACTAGAGAAGGAAAATGATAAACATCTAAATACTGAACCAATGGAATACTCACACACTTAGTTTCTTTGGACTGGCAGGCTAACACGAATACTATTTTATAAAGTATGACTGCAATTCACTTTGGTTTCCCTGCAGCTGACGCGTTCCATCATCCCCATTCATCTGGCCGTCAAATACCGCAACGCCCAAAGTTTGCTCTGTTTGTTACAACATGGGGCTGACCCTGAAGTAAGGTAAGTTAATGCAGTATCCTCCTCTAAGTGAGGGTGTGTGTGACACAGACTACTTGTCCTGTTATGTCTGAGCTTGTTCATTCCTCATGGGTTATGGCCTACAAACTGTTTCCAATGAACCCCCTTCTCTACTGACCACATGAGATTTTCTGAAAGTCATGGAAATAACACAGGAACAGTCAGCCACATTACTGCTTCTTGAGCTTAGTAACAGTGCTGTGGAAAATGTATTAAGTCCTGGCCATAGCACTCAAGAAGTTTAACAACTTAAGTATTAAGGATAAAAAACAGCCAATGGCTTTTCTTATTATCCTCCCCTAGAAAGTAAGTTTCATGAAAGAGAAATTTATATTGCTCAGCACCTAAACCAAACGCCTATCACTAAGTACCCAATGAATGCTATTTGAATGAACTGAAGAATTATAGAGTACAAAAATAATACAATTTCTGGGTGCAAATCCTTACCCTGGTCAGAAGAGCCAACCTAGTATGTCCTGCTCAACCTAATGTGTCTCCTCCCTACACACAGGAAGCCCCACCCCACATTTGCAATCAGTTCCTAACACCAGTGGAGCAGTTGGATTTTGATGACAAATCTTCCCTTTTCTCTCTGGGTTTTTTGTTTTTTTTTTGGTCTTTCTGAGACAGGGTCTCGCTCTTCAGTTCAGGCTGGCCCTGAGCTTTGTAACCCAGGCTGGTCTCGAACTCAGTGATCCTCCCGCCTCAGCCTCCTGAGTGCTGGGATTATAGGCATGCGCCACCACGCCTTGCCCTTTTCTCTTAAGGAAATTTTGGAGTCAGTCCTGAGAGCTGAGAACCTACCCATAAAATGCTCATTCCACTTAGATTGGAGCAGAGGATAAAGATGAACTGGTTTCATTAACTTCAGAATGACCATATGTCCCCAGATTCAACCCTTGGCATCTCTCCTACCACCTGTACTTATAAAGGAACATGTCAGCAAGTGGACAGACATAGAGCCACAAAACAGAGTAAATGCAGTCTGGTTCTTCAGGGACTTGTATCCAAGTCCACAGTTTCATCAAATGTCCAGTAACCCAGCCTGCCACTGGGCAAGGTTGGGCCCTGCCTTCAGCAACAAAGCTGAAATAGGCTTCTCTAAGGAGCTGGACCTATCATGCAGGGCTGCATGCCACCTTGTCCCCTCAAAAAGCCCCTGTGATACCCTGAAAAACTGCCCGGCAATACAGATCTTGAAATACTATAATGTAATTAAAGGTATTACTTATAAAAACATTGTCTTCTTAAGCATTAACTCTGCAATGTACAGCTGTTCTCACCATGAATCTCCTGTGATGTGATAAATACCTTCCAGGGACACAAGAGGCCTCACCACGCTGGAGCTGATGATACTGCACTGGCCAATCACTTCTACCACATGGACAAAACCAGGTAACAGAATCCAAAGGAGCCTGACGGACCAGGACAATGCTGAAACGTGTCTCCGCATCTTATGTGAATACGGAGCTCAAGTTAATGCCCAGGCAGACAACAGCGACAAAGTTTCCCCCCTCCACTTGGCCATATCATATGGGAACCATCCAGTTCTTTCCATATTGGTCCAAAATGGTGCACAGGTCAATGCTATTAATGAAGCCAGCATGACACCCCTTCACACGGCTGCAGACCTACTGAGTAAGGACATGATAGAAACGCTTATTACATATGGTGCGAATGTTAACTGTGCTGTCTCATCCACGGGAAACACAGCCCTGATGCTGGCAGTATGCACTGCATCAAGCAAAGCAGGCCGCCTCCTAGCAGCAGGGCTAAGCTGCATCCATTTGCTGCTAATGCATGGAGCCAAGGTCAATGCCCAGAACTGTGAAGGTCAAACAGCTCTCCATGAGGCATGTTTTGGAGGTAGAGAGGCGATAATCAATCTCTTGCTGGAATTTGAGGCAAATGTTAACATTTTAACAAGAAATGGGGAGTCTCCGATTTATATGTACCTTCAGCGCAGCTCCAACCTCAGAGACAAGACTCTTTTGGCTAAGCTACTTTGTCGTACTTACCCTTTGAGATTGACCAATAAGCAAGGAATTCTACCTACAGGAATCATGCCACGAGAATTCTACTCCTTAAGGCAAGCCTTAATAAACTTATCTCAAAAACCTTTATCCCTAGAGGATATCTGTAAAAAAACCATCAGAAATCTTTGTAGCGAGAAACACAAACATCACCTGAAGCAATTTCTCCCAGTAAAGATATGGAACTCAATATACTGCTGCTATGACTTAGCTTACCTCAAGTAAGACCAAGTTCCTCAGCCCCAGAGAATTCCAGCAATTCGAACTGTATTTTCTGGCTGGAGACATACCAGAAAATGCTGAACCCACTATCTCTGTATCCCAATGTACAAACTATTGGCTCTTAAAGCTTTTTCAAAAAATAAAATCATTCACACATTAACTCTCATAGTCCTAAGTTTTCTTTTAAATCCTTTTTCCATGGTTTAATTTTTGCCTAAAAAGTAAGCACATTACCTTACAATCAGTCCAAGAAGAAAATACATTTTCTCTCTTTTTTGATACTGTTTGAAGATAAAAGCTGGAACAATCCTGTATATGTATATGTGTGTATGTATGTACATGTATATGTATTTTTGGTGGGGGTTTGTGGGGACTGAGTCAAGAACCTACACAATGAGCTACGTCTGCAACTCTTTAATTTTTGAGATGGGGTATAACTAAGTCACCAAGTTGCTCAGGCTGGGTTCAAACTTGCTATTCTTCTGCCACGGGTGCCCAGAGTTCCAGTACTGTAGGCATGTGCCACCCAGTATACATATATACATACTCAAATACAGGTGTGTGTGTGTGTGTGTAGTTTTGTTTTGTTTCAGATGGGGTCATACTCTGCTGTCCAATCTGGTGTGTGTGTGTGTGTGTGTGTGTGTGTGTGTAGTTTTGTTTCAGATGGGGTCATACTCTGCTGTTC